TTTTTTTTTTTTTTTTTTTTTTTTTTTTCATGATAAAACGAGAGTTTTTTCCGTGTATCTACGAGAAAATAGAGACTATTTGCTATCCTTTTTTGCTTGATACTAAATTTCTGCATTCAACAGCACGAGATAGTTCTTGTCTGAGACAGTAAAAGAAGAAAGAAGTAATGAGTAGGTATAACAGTTACTCGATTCTTTCTGTTATGTTAAAAAAAATTTTAAATGGCACATTTACATGAAATTCTGGCACGAATTGTAAGTAGACGTTTAACTAAATAAATAAAGTCTCGAGACGGGAAAAAGTACAGTCTTGGCAGTTGTGGTTCTCATTCGACTCTTCCAGAGGATGATGAGCTTGAGGATGAGACGGACGTTTTAGGGACTTCTGGAGCTTCGAGTATTCCCTTAGGTCGACACCGCCCCGAGGAGCTGACGACCCTGGCAGCGAATACCCGATTTACCCGCAAGGAGATTCAGTTGATTTACCGAGGGTTCAAGCAGGAGTGTCCCACTGGACTTGTCGATGAGGAAGGATTCAAGCAGATTTTTGTTCAATTTTTTCCACAGGGTGGTGAGTTTATTTTATATTTATACTTCTTATCATACGGAAAAAAATAGGTGCTGCAACAGAATGAAATCCTGTGGGAGCAACACGATAAAATCCTGTTGCAGCAACAAGATTTTTTTGGGGCAGCAACAGGATTCTTCTTGCGGGAGCTACAAGATAAAGTTAATTATAATTTTAAGAGAAATTCAAATTTTGAAAAAAAAAATTCGAGTAAAAAATTAAATTTGAACTCAAAAAAATTTCAACTTTAAAAGAAATTTTTAATTGAAAAAAATTTTGAAAATTTTTTTAATTTATAATTTTTTTTTTTAATTTTAAGTTTACTTTTCAAATTCAAATTTTTTTTTCTCTTCTCAATTTGAGTTTTTTACAAATTTGATTATTTTTTTCAATTTAAATATTTTTTAATTCGCTTTAATCTCAACAAGAAAAAAATTTTGTACGAGACTTATTTTAATTGATTAAAATTTATTTATATTCATTCAATCCAGTACTCTGGGATTACAATAAAAATTTACTCTAAATTCATTTCCAACTGTATACAGTGTATAATTTCGAAAAATGAACGTTAATGACTGCATCCTGTTGCAGCACCTATTTTTTGTTGTGCAGATAGGTTACGGTTTTAATTTTTTTAAATAAACTATTATAAATTGATAATGTCAATAATAGTTCAATTTTTTTCTTATAATCTCAATTTAGCATAGTTCAAAATAATTTTAGAAATTCTAAAATTGATAATTGTTGAAAAATTTGTCTTGAAAATAGGGTGAATAAAATTGACTCTGTATGAATTATCAGCCAGTCTGTTATTTTGAAATTATATGTATTCGTACACGAAATCTGCAATTTAATTTTTTAACGACAATCTATTGAATTTAATAATTTATTTTGAACTTTTTACATTATTGGATTTATTTTTTTTTACTTTTCATTAAAACATTTTGTAAGTATGGTGGCCAATAGAGGGGACACAGCTAGGCCAATAAAGGGGAGATCAGGATTTGAAGTTATTTTCATTTACGTTTAACTTTCGGATGATTATTTGAAAGTAATTTTTTTTTTCATGTCTAAAATATTAATTTGAAAAAAAAACGTCTACCTAGCAGGCCAACTGAGGGATCTTTTACCATAGTATGAAATCATTTTGATGGTCGAGATATCGAATAAGTATTACAAGATCGATATCTTGAAAATTAAAAGTTAAAATAAAATTATTATTATTGCGTCTTCAAGATTTTCATGAAATTAATTGTACTATTATCTTTTAAATTCAACAGATGCAAGCCAGTATGCTCATTACGTATTCAATACAATAAAACGAAAACAATCTGGAAAAATAAGTTTTGAGGTAAGACAAAACTTTCTTAAATGTCACTAAAGTTCACACAATATATTGAGTTTTTTTACTTGAAAAAAATTACTTGATTCAAGAAAAATATTTTTTTTTTAATTCCACTTTTATTTTGAGATATTCTGTTTTCTCAATTCGAAGAATTGATTCTCCATTTGGTCCGTTTGTGGACAAAGTATAGGTTTTTCAAATTTAAAAAATGACTTATTTAAAATGGAATAGGTTAGATGAATTTTTAAGGAACCTATGGTTTGTTAAAAAATGATCAAAATTACTTTTTCACTTCCTGCTTTGAAAATGATCAATTTTTAAAAATAACTAGTTATTGAATTTACCTCGATTTTTGAAAGTTAACTTTTCATCAGATTTTCCCGTTTTGAGATCCTAGAAAGTCATTTTGATTTTTATCAGCCGAACGTATGATGAAAAAAAAAAATAGAGTCCAGAATGATTTGCCCATATAGATTTCGTCTTCAAAGTACATTAAAAAATGAAAATTTTACAAAAAAAACTTCCCGATATATCTATTTTCGAAAAATTTATGATTATTTAAAGATAAACAGATCATTTTTTGAAAAATTATTTTTTTGTTTGGTTGAGGGTAATAAAATTTTAAAATTTATTCAGAAACGTTTGTAGTGAGTTAGAGAAGTAGTTAATTCAGCGTAAAGTGTCTCATATTGTTCAATAATACAAATAATAATAACATACAAAATTTTAAGGTGATTAGTAAGATTGTTTTGCAATTTGACAATAACTTTTTAAAGTTTAAATTATCAATAATTTTTACTTTATTATAAACCCAATAATTACGATATTTTTAAATTTTCATGAAGAAAAGCTCATAAAAATCTCACTAGAAATTTTTCTCATTCTTCGACAGTACGGAAAAGCATCCTTCAATGTAAGAATCAAATAATAATAAAAAAAAAACAAATTGTTTACTAAATATGAAATAACAATAATAATGAAAGTATATAAATAACAACCTCTCATCTGGACAGTCACAGTCAGTGTTATCATGTTCCATCCCAAAATTATGACCCATTTCATGTGCGACAGTAGCCGCGACAATTCCAATGATATTCGAATGATCTATCGACACACCGCCCGAAAATTCGTACGTACATATCGGGCCTTTTAAGGCTTTGCCGACTACTCCGTCCTCGAAGTGAATTCGTCTGAAAATTAAATCAATAAATCAGTCATCGACCACTTGAATAAATATAGCTATAGCATAAGTTAATATTTAATATCAAATATTAATTATTTATGTGAAACAAATACTCACGTCAATAACTGCGCATTGTCGTTAGGTATAGTCTTCACCAACATCTCACGTCGATAACGCAAAAAATTTGTTAGTGTTGTGTCGCCCTTTGATGATAATGCAATTTGATCTGATTCTGTCCATACTTCCACGCCGACCAACGCGATAAATATATTTAAAGGAGTATAGAGCTAAAAAATAATGATAATAACAATAATAATAATGATAGTGTTATAATCAATAGTCTGACACGCAAGGGTTAAATTTCTTTAACCCTTTTATTATTTTTAGACGGTGGTCACTTCGAGTTTAACGGTTGCTTTAAAAAAAATTACTAAAAAAAAAATCTTTTTCTTCTCTCACTACATCCTAAGCGGCACAAATTTTTTTTTGTGAATGTTTTGTTGAATTTAAATTGACCATTATTAATTTTTTAACTTCTTGTTGAGTGAAATCTACCAAAAAGTCAACATTTTTTTTTGTGACGCTTGGGATCTCGACTTTCCCATTTTAAAACACAGCAACTGCAAAAATTTTAGATCTTTTTTTTTTTTTGGAATCTAGTTATATTTTTTTTACTTTTAGGAAACAATTCCCTATTTTTTTACTTTAAAATTTTTAAATATATAAAATTTTTAATTAAATTAATTTCTTCACGCATAAATTTTTTTTTTATTTTGAGTAAAAATGTACTTATTATAAACCGAATTGGAGGGGTCGTTCTAGTTTGTAATTTAAAAAAAAAAATTATTTTTTTCGCATTTTTCTCAAGTATATAAAGTAAAAGCCCCAGTATCTGCTCACTCCATGTATTTGAATATCTATATTTACAAATGCAGATATACAAATACATGGAGTGAACAGGTACTGGTTCCTGAGCAGCTACTGGGGCTCTTACCTTATATCTAAAAATACTGTGTTAAAAATTTGTAAGTGATCAGTTCACTGTAACTACATTATTTTACCACCTTTATGTAGTTGTTCGACTGGAAAAGAAACAAATTTTTGAAAAGGCTGATTGACTTAAGATAAGATTTTTTTTTTATTTAAAAAACTTTAAACACGTTTATCGCAGAACTATGTTTTGTTGGTTGACGTACATGATATCTCTAGAACCACTGACCTAATCTTAACGCAATTTAAACCACATATTCTACATAGAAGTAGCTATTGCATTAACTACAACCAAATCAAAATTATGATTTTTACCATTTTTTTATGACTAGAAACTGTGAAAAAAAGTCTCATTTTCCAGTTTTTTGTTTTTTTTTTAATATTCGTCATTTTGTTTTTTATCAATAAATATTAATCTCCGTAGCTGGTGAAATAAATACTTATATATTGACATAAATAATTTTGGTTTCTGTGTTTAAGATGAGCCGTTATCAAGTTATCATGAACGTTAGCGACATACCAACTTTTAGAGGAGCTTTGTTCACTCGTTATTTGTTTGTATACAAAATATAAAAAAAAAAATAAATTTAGATATTTTTTGTGTTATTCAAGGGTGTATTTGTTGAGCTGAATAGATTTCATATCAATATCTATAATAGTTTCTGTGTAAAAAAATAATAAATATTTGCTTTTTTTTGAGCGCCGGAACTAGAATGATCTTTTTAAAAAAATAAAAAACAAAGAAATGTCAGTTACTATGTTTTGAACTTGGGCAATTGTTGAGCTTCAAATTTAAACAAATTAAACTCAAAATATTTTTCTTTATTTTAAAATTGTTAACACTTACAGCATTAATAATATTTGCGATATCCTTGCAGTGATGGTAAACTTTCTGAAGATCTTGACCTAGCGCCGTGTATTCTTTTTTGTCGATAACAAGTACTAACTCAACGTAACGAGATTGACGGTTAGCATTGTAAGGACCTCGAACTGCTTCAGTGGCTCTTTTTTCCTAAAAATTTATTATTATTAATTTATAAATATTAATTATTTATAAGAATTATAAGAGATAAGTTTACCGAATAAATTGATAAATTACTTACACGTAAATGATTTAAATGTGAAGTAGCGTCATGGTTCCCTTTGTAACCTAACAAATAGTAAAAATAAAAAAAAATTAGTACCATTCTTATTGTTGTAACTGTTAATAATTTTTTTTAGCTAGTAAATAAAAGGCCATGAGATATAATGCGAGGATTTAATGGAGAAAAATATCTCACAAATATATATATATATCAAGGTACTACAGTGAGAAGTGAGTACTTTACTGATAAGGTAAGACGGGTGTCTTCTTTTTATGTACAGTTTGATTTTTTTATCCGCTTTCCTACTTTATTTTCAATCTTTAGCAGAAGAATTTACGGTACGATATTTTTATATACTATAATTATTTAGCTGATGATTTAGTAAAATAATTTTTGTATTAATTCTTAAACTCAAGGTTTAATTGAAAAATTAATCTTCTCTATGTTTATTTTCAGTACCTACGGTAAAAGCACCAATTATTAATGCTAGAAAAGATATAGCTAGAATTACAATTTTTTAAACACAGTTAGAATTAAGATTGTTCAACTTTTCTTTTAATTTGTATTATTCTTTCGGCTAGAAAATTCATGTTTTCAAAATTTAATATAATTAATGACACAATTGTCGACATCCATTATTTTTAAATTAATTACCACTGAAATGATAATAACAAATAATATATTATTGTGAATTTTTAGTAGATTTCATAGAAATCTAACTATTGGATTGGTCTTCATGACGGAACTTATGAAAAATTTTTTTATAGTACTATACGACTCAGCTCGCCTAATTGGATTTAGAAAATACATGTGGTTCAAAAGTTCAAAAATGTAGGTATATATTTATGTATACATGTATATGGGATAAAACGCGACTTGTGAGGACAATAGCGTCTACAATTTGCGATCTTTATTAAACTCAACTTACTTCTTCTGCTAATGAATACAAAGGTCAAATTCAAAAATGAGCTTAATCGGTGACGTCGTTTAGAAATTACAGGATTTAAAATTGTTCAAGGTCCCAAAATCTATATTTTTGAAGTTTCTTTCCCAAATAATTTTTGAATGCAACAACTTTTCGAATTTCTCTAAATTGCATCCAAAAATTCTTTAGATAAGCTTTTATTTTCTAATTCATTCATATTCTTTATAGATCAATAAATTACTACCCATTTCTCGTAGTTAAATACGAAATTTGCTGTTGCATTCGTTTGAAAAATATATTGAGTTTTTAATTAATGCTTCCAAAATACCTTTCGCAAATATTATTCTAATGATGAGTATATTATAATTACTCTAAGTGCATCTTGAGTATGGACCTTGTATTAGTATTCTGTAAATCCTAATGGACATTTAAGTCAGAATAAATTTTTTGGATAAATACGAAATCTACATATAATTTGTGAAGAGAGATAAAAAAAATTATAAAAAATGGAACTGTTTCGATTCGAGTAAACTTATTTTTTTTTTTTTTGACGTGATAACGTCTTATAAATTGATGAACACCAACAGCGCTCACGAAAAAATGTCGCGTTCCGACAAACCGTTCCGCTTTTGTGTTACTCCTGAGCGTTCCTCCTGAGCCTGTGAGTGCAAACGAGAGCGCGCAACAAGCGATAGAGAGGCACGATCAAACAAACGATAGAGAGGCCCAAGCATTGGCTTATGACATATATCTCTCTTTTCGCGTAACGTCAGAGCTAGCAGTCAGAATATTGTTCTATAACTAATTGTTCGTGATTATATTTAAACAAATTATATCAATTATATCAGATTATTATTGTTGATAATATTAATAATTATTGATAAAGAATATCAATTATAAATAAATAAATTAATAATAATTGTAAACGATAAATTAATAAAATAATAATAAAAAATAATAAATTAATAAAATAATTAATATTATTTATAAATAATAATAATCATATCAATTATCAAATTATTGTATCAATTTTTGATTAACAATTTATCAATAAGTCCTTTTTTTTGTTAAAATAATTTTTAAATATTCAACATTTTGAAATTCTTAAATACAAAATAATGATAATTCAGTGATAATAATTCAATTCGATCCATAAAAGTATGCAATTTTTCATCAATGTTTCTTTATGACGTTATCACGTAAAACTATCGTCCGTAAACCGACTTTACAGACAACCAATTTTTTTTTTTTTTAATGAATATTTGATACTTTTTACAACTATAAAATTTTTTCAATGCTTTAAGGGATTGCATGGATTAAAAGCTTCAAGGAATCGGTTTTTTTTATCTTATAAAATTGTACAACATGTCAAAAATAATGTCCTAAATTTTGAAGTCGATTGGAGTAATTTGGCTCTCAAGGCCAGTTTGGCTGAACGCTCAAAACTTTACACGCGATTTTCAAAGTCAGTTGTCAAGATTTCTCGAAAACTACTGAAACGATCTTGATGAAAAGAACTGATACTATTGAAAAGAATTTGGACGAAGGATTTTTTTTTTTGTGCAAATTGCAAATAATTTTAAAAGATCAAAATGTGGTGCAAATTTGAATTTTTTTTTTAAACTCTACTAAAAATCTAAATTTCAATTTTTTTTTTCGAACGTCCGGATTCTAGTTTTAGGTACTCAATTAAAAATCCAATTTGATTCTTTGATTTTACATGCTCCTATCATGAGTTATGGTGTCAACGCGAAAGCACCTTTTTTTTTTTGAGGAGTCTCCGGAAGAGACGTCGCAATGGCTGAGTTTTAAATATTTTTCTACAAAAATTTAAGAAAATGTTTATTAGATATATATTTTCAACTTAACAAAAAGTTTGAATTAAAAATTTCAATATTTATAAATAAATAAAAAATGTTAAAATTATAAATAACTTTTTTCACCGAAATAAGCCCATGCGACCCTTTAAATTATAATAAATTATATAGAAAAACATATAATTATATCGTAGTTAATTAAAATAAATTCGACAGTCAACAACTGGTATTTTTACCTTTTTTTAAAGATAATAGAACTATATATTTTTTTAATGTCAAAGAATTTCAAGAAATATTGAAAAAATCATCTCTTTAGTTTTGTAAAATTTATTCTGCAAAATTAACTAATGAATTTTTTCTCAAGGTTACGTAAGACGGAAAACTCTATCTGACCTCATTTGTAAGATTAAAAAATTCAAGATAAAGAAAGTCAACGCTCTGGCCACTGAGGTGCGCAATAAAGCAAAAAAGGATATTGTTGATAAAAATTGATAACTTACCACAAGTGTAATTGTTTAATAAGTCACTGTGTTTATATAAATAATGATTAGATTCTATAGTTTCATATTCAGGATGAATGTGGTGCATGTTTTCTCCGTCGAAAATTACACCTTTCAATCCATAACATGTCGAAATTGCTACCCACGAATCAGGTATACCACGCACGCTTCCCTGGTAATGACAAATTTCCTGGAAAAAACAATAATAAATTAGTTTTGGTTCTTTTAAACCTAGGCATTATTTATTAATGCGTAAATTTGATGAAAGTGGGTGTAATTCCGATTATCACTATCGATCGATTTGTTAATATTTGATATTTTAAAACGAAAATTCTATTAATATATTTTAACACATTTCAGAATTTTTAACACAGTTAAAAATGTACATTAGTGTAGTAATAAACATGTTAAAAATCGTTAATAAGTTGCATGAAAAATTTTCTAAATATTTAAAAATTTCCCGCCTTTTTAAATACTGCCTGTTAGTGGCAGTGGCACAGTAGCAGACACAGCAATGGCCACGTAATAATATGATCAGCTGATGTTGCCATCAGTTTTGAGATAAAAATGTTAATTTTTAATAAACTAAAAAGGTTTATAAGATGATTTTTCATAGGATTGTACAAATTTCGAAAACTAAGCTATTAAAAAAATAATAGTATAAATTGAATGAATTTAAAGAGAGAAATTGCATTGAAAATTTTAGTGCTGCAGCACCATGGTTATGTTAAGTCTTCTGCGTAATTTAATACATTACCGCTTTCATCTAAGTCTTATAATTGTATTTATATAAACAATCATAAAAAAATCAATAAAATTCTATAGAGGCTTCGGTAATTTAAACGAAACATTATGGTTGTTTCATTATTTTTAGTTGTTGAAATTGTGAGAGTTCTTATGATTTAAAACCAATTATTCATTTTTATGTTCTGACGCACCCCAAAATCTCGTGTTAATAGGTACTGCTAACACTAATAATCTTCAATATAATAATGATAGTGAGTAATGACCATAGTTACAGCTATAATTATCATAGTTTATAGACCAGAGGCAGTGATTACATTCATAACTTTATTATTTTTTATTACCAGTATGTTTATTTAACAAAAGGCCCCAGTTTCTAAGTGCTCTAGATTTCGGAATGAACAGAATTATGAAATCTATAAATAATAATCGATAAATATTTATATTAATCCTACTTAATTCTAATTATAGACCGTAATAATAGTAGATTTCTCCATAACATGTAATTGAATTTGCTAAATTAATTATACTTGCATGTCTGCGTCTTTCTTTCTCATTTATAATTAAATTAAATTAAAGTTGTGCACTCATCCTTCGGTCCATATGATTATTTCATCTTATTTAGTATTAGCTCTCTCTTAATTTATTATTCAATCCTACACTTAATTGCTCAATTTTATTATGCACATACATTAGGTATTTATGTTACTTGTAATAATTTATAAATAAATAAATTTCATATTTATTGCAATAAATGATTATTATTTCATTATTGAGTTTCTAATTTTTGCACAGTTGGTAGCAAAATTAAAATCAAGTTTCAGAATTTGTTGCATGAAATTATACTTAACAGTCATAATTTATAAATAAATGAAATAAAAGTAACATTGCAAAAAAGAGAAATAATTACTAAATCGATCTATAATACTTTTAAATCGGGTAATTATTCACAAGTCGAGTCCAACCCATACTAGCCCATGTTATTTTTTTTTTTTTTATCAAATTGATCAATTTTTTTTTAAATTGTTCAGTTTTATGTACTTTTCAAAAAAAAAATATATCAAAAACATCAAAAAAAGATAAAATAGAAATTTTATCCAAAAACATGAGCCAAAATTTTTTTTAACTTTTAAAGGTAAAAAAGCTATCGAAATCTTTATTCTAGCCTTACACGACATTTTTTATCATAAATGCACCATAAAAACAAGCAGAATAAAAAAAATTTGAAAATATTAATTTTTCACCTATTTATGACCCAAAATGGGGTTGACCTCACTTGTAAATAATTACCTTAAATCGATCAATGGAAATTTTTACATGAAAAATTTTTTATAAATAATTTATAATAAAGTTTTTTTGAGCTCAATTTTGTTTTTAATCTCAGGTCTTTCGTCTACAAAAATCCTTCTCTTTTAAGATATTATATTTTTTATATTTTAAGTTTGTTTTATTTTTAAAGTAAAAGTTTTCGATCCTTTTTGTAGTATACGCACCGTTACTTATATCCATAATCCCAACAGAGAATAATTGAATCGCAAATCTTAACATAATACTGTTTTGTTTAGTTATAATTTGATCATTTCGGCTGTCAGTTAGACAAATTTATTAAATATCAATTTTTCTTTTAAATACACGATTGTATACAACTAATACTATAGTTTGTTGTGTGGCCAGCTGATCGGCGCATGAGTTGTTTTTTTTTTTCTTTAAATCACTGGTCAGAACGCTCCAGGGCGCTTGATTCGCACAAAAATGAATACTTCTCTGAAGAAAAATTTGAAATGAACTTTAAGTCTTGAATATAAATAGTTGAAAGTTTAACGAAACTTAGAAGAATTTTTTATGTGCAGATTACTGCCGAGAAATTGATTTATTATCATGGTTATTATTATTTTAAATAAAGATATTGAACTTTAAATTTTTAATATTTTTTAAGCAACTTCTTTTTTTTTTTTTATTATTTCAACTAATTATTATTCTTATGAATGAGCATTTAAAGAATTTACATTTCAATTTAACAAATTTTTTAATAAAAATATTCTACTGAAAATCAATTGAAAAAAAACGCAGCCAAATTAGACCTTACTGAACCTAATTCAAGTAAATACTTTGAAATTAATAAAAATGTGTGGTCAATAAACTTTGAAAATCAAATTAGAGGTCATGGTTACGGCAACTGTAGAAATTTACACAATTTTTACGGGTTATTTACAAAAAAATAAGAAATTAAAGTATATTTACATGTTTGTCAGGCACTTCTGTTTTGTATCCACCTTTGTGTTGTGTTCTTTGTTTGAATCCTACCGGAATGAGGTCTGTGTTGAGTCTTAAGTCTAGAATACGCTTGACACCGTCAATTTCAAAACCAACTGTTATAATATCTGCGTGTTTATGCTCCTGAAATCATTTAATTATATACATTAAAAAACACTTTTAGCAAATTAAAGTTTTAATACAATTATTATCTTCTTTCACGTCCTACAGTTATTTTTTCAATTTAAATTACTTGTAATTGCTTTTTTTTTATGGAAAAAAATTGATGCTCTTGAGAACATCTCTAGGAATAAAAAAAAAATAAAAAGTTGATAATTTCACTTGATTTTGTTTGATCATTAAGTATAAAACTTTTTTTTTTAATACCTTTTATCCCGAAGTAAAATTTAACTCGGAAAGTAAGTTGATCTTAATTTAATAAGAGAAAAAAGTTTTAATTAATTCAAGATTTACAACGAAATTTCAATGTTTCTTTTGTATTATAAAAATCTTGATACTTTCTTTAAATGTTTTCAACTTGTTGGTAATTAATATCAAAGACTCCTTTATTCTCAGATAATAATAATACATTTTCTAGGCCAAACCAAATTGTAATTATGATTGTTATTATCATATAAACAATAAATTCATTAAATACTAAAGTTAGCAACCATTAATTAATAACTAATAATAATTAAAATAATAATAATAATAATAATAATAATAATAATAATAATAATAATAAAGTCGCGGTCGATAATTGAGTAATAGTTCTATTGCGAAAAACCACATAAAAAAATTCCTCCGGAAAACCTCAATAAAAGCTGTGTATATAGAACAAATATAAGTATCACTGATTATGATTATATATATCGACGTTCTAATTAGCAAATTGTCGAACTCCATGCATTTTAGAGAATCTTCCATTTGTACGAAAAAACAATTAGATCAAAATTTATTGTCACTTTAAAAAAACACTTAATATCTACTAAAGGTATATTATTTTTGCTTGGATCGCTATTAGACCTGACTCTTGTTGCTACTGTTGCATGTCTTATGACCTGATGCTATCTTTTGTTTTTTTAACTCTGTTAAATAACGTGTATTTTATTTACAAATAAGATTTTATCAGGAGACGATATATACTTTTTTATGACAAAAAATTTGAAAAAAATCTAAGAAATTTCAGTTACTGCAATCAGTATGAAAATAATATGATAAAATGATGTTTATTATTATTAGGAATATCATAATAAATCTCATGTTTGACACAAATATGAAATTCTCATCATAGGAATATCTTTGGATATATTTTCATTTATATTCAGTTCGTAAAATTTTCAGCAAAATGAATTATTCTTGTCAATTAACCATCTTATCTATTTTTTTCTTATAAAAAAATGAAAATTTAGTACAATACAAATAAATGTTAATTTTTATTTTCATTTCTCAATTTTTTTTTTTAATGATATATTTTTTGGACCGACATGATAGTATATATGAATTAGAATTTTGGCCTATTTTCGGACGAAGACTAGTGTTTTTCTAATTTAAGTCTAAAGATGGATCTTTCATCTTCCTTTTTGATCGAGAGCTATATTCTCTCTTCACAGTAGTTCGATGGGTATCCATCAAACTTAAATACTAGTAAAGCTGGAAGCTTGTAGTATCTGTTCGAGTTATGAGGATGTTAATTAAGGAGGTCCTTTCGCCGCCAATGTAAAATAAAAAATATTAGATTATGAGTAAATTAAATTTTTTTCTAATAGTTGAAGTCCTTATTTATCTAATAGTGAGGTTTAAATTATACTTTACCGGACAAATTTTTGAAAAAATAAAATTTTTAAATGTTAGTATTTGTTCAGAGGCTTACGAGAAAGTCAGACGTTTGCAGTATTTCTCGAATTATACTATCAGTCATGGATTAGATGAAGTAAAAAAAAACTAAAAATTAGATTTTCGAAATATTCAGGTTTCTTTTTTTGTAATAAAATATATCAGTTACCGAGATATTTATTGAGAAATTAATATTTAAAAATCACAAAAAATTCTCAAGTAACCTACGTTAAAATGGAGTCAAAACATTTGGCAACGTTGCGTAGCGCGCGAGCTTCAGACCATTTAATAAATTCAAACTAATTTATTTATTTACACTGACTGCAAAAACTTAAACGTGTTTAAGGTTATATTGTGCAAATGAAAATGTAAACAACCGAAGTACAGCGTTGCCAAATCACGGACAGGTTACTAGCAGCTGATTTGAAAGAGTCAAATTAATTTTTGTATTTAACTATTTTTTTTTTTTTTATTTTTAAAATTTCAACGATTAATGCCTCATATACTATTTATTATTTAATTTTAGGAATTTTTATGGGTTTTTTATTTTAATTTATCGTATATTGACTACTA